CTAGGGGAAGGCCTAGGAAGTCATGGAATAACTGTGTCCTGGAAGATGCTGTGCTGATCTTAGGGAGACCCAGTACCAGTCTAGAAGAGTTAAAGGAACTAGCAAGAGATAGGAAGGAGTGGAGAGGACTGTTGAGGAAGAGACGAGTTCTGTGCGCAGGCCACTCGAACGACTGACTCGAGGAGACCTCAACAAGTACAAGTACAAGTAAGTACAATTGTACAAGTCTTGGAATCTAATATGACAGACGTGTGTATAGTGTAGTGTAGATATCCATAGAGACATAAAGTAGATTCTGGCGTTTTCACTTTGGAAGGTTTATTTCACTTAGTCAGGATCACGTTGTTCACCGGGTGGTGTAACACATTAAGCTGGTGGTTACGTACGCTTCGTTCTAACTATGAGGCAGACTTATCCCACGATAACCACCCTGCCCTGAACTCTGGCTTTGATTTGGCTAATCTAGCAAGACTTGTTTAACTACAGGTATTAATCCTGTAGAAGTAACATGTTGATACTGTTACGTCTGTTATGTATTTGGCACTTAGAGGTCAAGGTTTCCTTCTCCCCTTGACCTGCCCTTTCCCCAACCTAGATCTTGACAGACATCTCAAGGCCATCCCCTGAAGTCACGGCTTTTTGGTCGAGTCTTGCTTTGTGTTTGTTGTGTTGTCTTCCTATTTCAGTAACTCCACGCTTTTTACACTAACCAGTATACCCAAAGAAAGCTGTCAAAATAGAACGCCAGACAAAGAGCCCAAAATTCCAACGTCTGCTTGGAGTTTGTAGAATTAAGGGTGAACACGAAATGTACAGTGTGGAATGTTTATTCTTTTTCAAACAAGATCACAAACCCTTGTAAGGTTATGCTGTACATAAAAATAGATATCTAACATTCATATTCATTCTTTCACCAACAATATTTACAACATGGACTATGAAACGTGCATAGTGTTGAAAAAAACTTGGCTCACCAGACTTCACACATTGTATGTTGAGCAAGAAGTATACATTGTAGACAGTATGAAAATTGCTCATATATGTAGCAATAATACATGTACACATGTATGTGTCAGAAAAAATGAAAAAAACTTATTTGTATATTATGAGCAGTGCAATGTGCTCTGTTACTTTCACTCCGAGTGTCCTGGGAAGTTTATTTAGAGCAAGGACTCCAATATATAGTGTTGCACATTCTGTACAAAATATCTGTTCTTTTCACAATGTCCAAACTACAGAGAATTTCCTTAACTGTTACATAATGAATTTAATGATTTCAACACTAATCTGTAGTACTGGTGCTGCATTTTAGAAGATGGAAGCAAAACAGTGATTACAGTGTGGTCACATTCTTTGTAGATTATCGTACAATTTTCATGTCGTAGAATTTTCAACCATGTTGTGACAGAACCAACCACTGGTACTGACAAGGATCTAAGACAGCCTTTTCTATAACAAGGCAGCTGAATTTTGTACAACACATTCATGAACGTCCCAACCATGCCTTCAGTTTGCCATCATACAACAATCGTACGGTGAATGTGACCAGGCCCTACGTATATGTTTACTATGAAGAAATTACACAGCAGTAACTGTACAGCCTCAGTGCTCCACCTGCACCAGGGCAGGGAAGGTCCTCATGCGCAGTCTCTCCACCTCAGCACGCAGCACGGCCACCTCCTGAGCCTGCGCCTTCGCCAGGTCCACCAGCTTCCTCCGCTGCACGATGTCAGCCATGCGCTTTTCTGCCGCAGCATCACTGCGGACGTCAGCTGTGGGGTGGGGCAAGATGTTAGTCATTATTTGTACCATTGTAGCGTAGTTCCTAGCCTGACTACTAGCAGCCCGTCCACTGTTCAGGCCCCTAGAAGTATGATGGCTATTATATAACACTATGTTTATAGAAGAATTGAGGACATCTTAATCCTGTTGATTTGTTCACATATGTGCTAACATGGACCAACTATTTTTAAAGAACTGTCTGTTGCCATAGTGTTAGATGCTGTACTAAATTACCCTGAGCTCCAATTTGTAGTTGTGGGAATGAGAATGGTTCTCTAAAATTAAAGGCATATGGTTTAGTACTATCCGACATATATTTACCATTGACTTCGTTGATGTGTTTCCTCTCAAAGACAGACACGTTGAGTTCCTCCAGCTCCTTGTCCAGCCCTCGGTTCTGTTCCTCCATGCGGCGGATTGTTCTCTTCAGCTCCTTCAGCTGGCTCTCGTACTCTTCAACACGCTTCTCATGGTTCTGGAACGTGACGTATGCTGTTAGCGTTGCATGTTAACTCAATATGTCAGCCCTGGAACTACTGCATGCCATGCCAGGTGAGAGTCAGAGTCACATGTGTGAATGTTGATAAATATATAGATAACATACATATCTGATAAATATATAAACAAGAGGTCTTGAGCATTGATTTGCAGTTTAAGTTATTACAAGTTTTGTTGTCCTACCTTGGTCTGTGAAGCAATGGTCTGCTCCAGTACAGAGATCTGGTGAGCTGTCATAGCAGAATGGTCCTCATCACCCAGGTACTGTGGAACAGGGTCGGGGGATAGAAGACCATTTATGAGTTTTACATTTAGATCCAGATCCTTAAAACACATGTTCTTCAGAGATTTTGCAGCACATACATATTGAGTTTTATTGTAAGATTCTGGACACTGAGCACAACTACTCTGTGAGCATACTTACCACTTGCAGATCTTTCGTCATACGGAACATCTGGATGTCTCGAGCCTTAGTGTCCAGGTCTGACTTCTGCATCTGCATTCTTCTTCTCTCCCTGCAAAAACACAACAATCTGTCAGCAGCTGTGGGTGAGGACTATGATAATCACTAGTTATGTCAGATAGGGAGGGTACAAGTTTACCTGCATTTGTTGGTTGGTTGAACAAAAAGATTTTGATAAGATTGATGTTTTACTCACCACTCAAGCTGATGAATTCCCTTCCTGAAGTCCTTGCTCTCCACCATGATCTGCAACTTGGCATCTCCCAGAGTCTGTAAACAAGTTACATGTGCTTATGGACACTGGTGGTATGAAGGAACAGTACAAAGCAAAATGATGGACATGAACAAATCCATAAAATCTGCATCTTGCTAGTTTCTGAGAAGAACTGTTGTGTTATTCCTCATTCCTAAGACAGCTTTACAGTAACAACACAACTGAATTTTGCAGGATATGTGCATGACTATGTCAAGAATGGCCTAAGTTTGAGATCGTACGACATGTGACTGGGCCCTTACCTTGATGTTGGAGTTGAGGTCCTCGATGACACCCCTGTGCAGGAGGATGGAGTCGCTGTAGTCGTGGATAAAGGGCCCAGAGTCCACCTCCACCTGCCCCTGTTTCAGTAGGAACTGCACCTCCAGGTTCAACATCCACCGCATCTTGTCCTCCCTCAGTCTACAGGGAACACAACAGGACAGAACCATCACAGGAGGAAGGTAGAAGTACAAGCATGTAAGGCTTGCTGCTTTGGGTTGGGTTGACCATTGCAATGCATGGAGAGAAATTGTTTTATGTTCAGCTACTGTAGATTCATCTATTTTTGCAGTAGAAGGGGAAAAGTTTCGCACTTACTTGTTCTGTAAAGTGATGAGATCGTCAATTTCGTCCATGAGCCTGTCGTCCTCCTCCGTGCGTTTCTGCAGGAAGGCGTTCATCTCGGCCAGCGTCAGGGCCTTCTGTTTCACCTGCAGACAGAATCATGTCAGAGAATTCAGCATAGGAAGGAGTGGTGATGGTTTTTACTCTGGCACTTACACAATATACCAACAGATCAGAGCTCAAAAATACATACTGATTTGACATCAACATCTCAAATCATTTGACTTTTATGATATCAACTGTTCTGTCAGTGAATTGTTTGGCATTGGATATGGTCTTAACATCAGTTGGTAGAGACTGTTCTAGAGCTTCACAGATCTAAACACACATAAACACATCCACCATAGCTACCTGTTGTTCCTTCTCCACCTTGTGTCTCCGTGTCTCACACAGTCGCTGCCAAACATACGGCTCAATCCCGTCAGGAATGTTAGCGGGCCCGTCAAACTCGTCCAGCGCCGTGTAGAGAGACTGGCTGGCGTGTAAACTCACACGTGCAGACGGAGGACGGTCTGCAAATGGGTTGGCTGCTGCCGTGGCCGGGTCCAGCTGGGTACGGAACCTCTGTACCCTGGGGAGGAGAGCAGGAATAACCTTGAATGAATCAACCCAGCTGCTGTCTTACACTGGGAAAATATGTCAAGCCAATCATCTGGAAGTCTGAAATCTCTGATTTCTTGTTTTACCTTAAAGGTTGGACAAAGAAGGTTGTTATGTTCTACAAGTACTGTCATATATTATATTGATACAAACTCACCTGGGTCTCCTCTTAAAGGCTTTATAGAGCGGATCTTGAAGATGGGCGGGGACATCTGCAAAGTCTTTCTTGAAAGCTCTATCCATCACCTTGTCCTCGGCCACGATATTCTCGTACTCTTCCCGGAAGTGTTCGACGGCTGCCCTTGCCTCCTGCTGGCGAGCCGCCGCCTCGACTTTGGCGGTCTTCTTGACGTCCAGCAGACGGTAGAGCTCCTCCTCGCGACATGCCAGCTCCTCCTCCGCAAGGAGCAACAGCTCCATACGCACAATCTTCAACTCCTCCTGCAGGGACAAACAAGGTTATTTTAATCTGCCTCTGCCTACGAAGATATTTTGTAAGAAATTATCAAGTAAAGGCAGAAGCAGGCAAAACTGTCCATACCTGGTTAATGACCATCTCAGTCTTCACCTTCCTCTTGAACAGCTGACCGAGAGCCTCGTCAAACGAAGCTGACCCTTCAGCGTTCTGGGTCTGCAACTTCTTCAGCTCTGCCTCAAGATTCTAGTGGAAAAAGTGAAAAGGATCTTGAACCAGTTCAACAGTTGAGCTACTCTTTAACTAGTCATGACAGAGAAGGCAGATGCTATGTGCTGTATATTTAGTATATACCGGATACACATTACACAGACTTTATACTTCAAATACTACATGCCAAATCCTACCTTACGATACTTCTCCCTCTCTTCATTCAGTTCCTTGACTTTCTTCTCATAGTCCACCACTGCTTTCTTCTCCTCCTCAGTCCACTCAGCCTCAGGCTTCCCCTCTGCCATGAACCCGGGCTTGGGGACGTCCTAAACACAAAACCAGCAGGATGGTTTGCAAGTTGGATGGCATACCGGTAATCATGATAAATGGCTGATGTCATTGAAATGAGAGGTAGAAAATTTCTACAATTCCACATCATAATCATTTCAAACTTTTGAAGTCACAAATATATAGTATGATACATTTTCTTTTAAAATGCATACATAACAGAAAAGTGAAAACCACTGACCTGCTTCAGTTCATCCTCCTTCTTGACCTCCAAGACTCCGCCCATCATGTCAACCAGCCCACGTTCCCGAGCGTTGTCACCCTGTCACAGAAAACAACCATTAGTGTGGTCACAGCTTCATCTTCAGATGAAAGTTCAACATGATTTCCTTGTGTTGTATCAACACAATTTGTAATAAAGTTATTAACTTTCCTCTAAAAGTCAAAGAAGCTACATTTGATTCTTAACATGTTTTTCCTTGTGTTGTATCAATCAAAGGCACGTACACTTTCCCAATAATGTTCTGGTCACATATATCATATAATGCACTGGGATGTTTCGTTTTTCCGTGACAGTATTTCCATATGTCATAGGTTTGAGAAGAAACAGTTCAACAGCAGCAATAGTTCACCCAGGTGATTCCATATGACTGAATTCTACACTTGGCACTACCTGAAAGACTAACTACATGTACTGTTACCCTAGACTTACAGTGATATTACATGTAAACTAATATTTAGTTCTACCATTGCCAATCTATATTGAAATTTAATCACTATTTGTCTGTATCTGCTAAATGGAGTGTGCATCAAAACATCTGATATATCCCGTGAGCAAACTGCTTCTTGTGCATAAAATGCTTTACACTATGCCCTGATCTTTCACCAATTGGCATGACTCTATCTATGCACCAGACTTCTACCCAATGCTTTTGTGATGTCCCCACCACTTACACGTTTACTTGTCCAGTAAGCCTGCCATTGTTACATAAGGCATAAATCAACATATGTTCAACAAATCATATCATTATGATAGTAAAAATAACTGTTACTGCAATTTACACTAAATTCAACAAACACTGCTTGTTTTAACTGCTTTGCCTTGATTTACCTTTAAGTCTTTTCAGTTGCTCTAATCCACAAGTACAACCAATCATATGTAAAGAAAATGGTTGCAATATTGTTGTAGGATCATTATAGTTAAGCCAGAAGCCAGTAAATTCACAGTTCCTGCAATGCTCACCTGTTCCTTAAGGCGGCGCTCTTCCTCCTTCTTTTTCTGTTGGTCAATAACTTTTTGCTCCTCTGGACTGACATACTTTTCTACTTTCACCTAAATGAAGAAATATACACTGTGAGAAACTCCTGTGGACAATGTTAAACAATTATGGTGGAAGTTGTACTTGAACTCCTGTACTAGGCTGTAGTCTCAGATTAACACAATTTCACAGGGGAACCAAATTCGTCTATTAATTCTGTAGTAATACACTAGACATGCATATTCGAGGTGTCATAAATTAAAGGTGAAGAAGTCACTGGGAAAACTGCAAAACTAAAAGAAAATTTACAGCAACAATTAAGTTATCACAATAACTAAATAGTCAAAAATAAGTTAATGTTAGAGTCTGCAGACACTTGAATCACGAAGTCAACAGACATGGCAGCCAAGGATGTTAATCTGTTAATATAACACTAAAGAAATCTCACCTCACTGTCTTCCACCACCAGCAGTTTCTCAGGCTGCTCGTCGATAGTGAGGGCTGGCTGCCAGGCCTCCTCCGCCTGGTCCAGGTCAGACAGGATCTTGGTGATGCGAGCGTTGCGCTCCTTGATACGCACCATCTCCTGCTGCTTCATCTGGGAAACTGACTCAAACTGTTTGTTGAACGCTTCCTTCATGCGATAGATGGCATCCTGGGATAGACAAGAAACAAAAGACTACAGTCTATAGGGAGATATCCATAGACAGTTGGAGTCAAAATGTCAAAATACTTTTAAAAAGCATCTATTTGAGTTTCAGAACATATTAAGTATATGTATGATGTATGTACACTTTTATGTTTGTGGCACTACGGCAAGTGATTTTAAGCTGGCTTTGCATGTAGAATGTTTGTACTGTGTATTCTTGCAATAAAGGAAATTACATTTTTTTTTACAAAGTCAAAGCAAAGCTGTATCAGTGGTCAGTGATGACAGCACCTGGTGCATGAGCTTGATAACCCCAACCCGTTACCGTACCTTCAGTAGCACAATCTGGTTGATTTTCTGCTCCCTGGTGTGCAGGTCAAACTGGCTGTAGTAGAACTCGTTGTCCCCTCCGTAGTCCACAGCCAGACTGCCGGTGACAGATGGGGCCTCCTTCCCCTCCGCTCCTTCCTCATCGTCCAACAGTTCCTCCTCCTGGCTGGTCTTCTGACCCGTGCTTGCCTTCGTCGTCAGCTCTACTACTTCCTTACGGGCCTGGAGGGGAAAATCGTCACATCATATTTCAATACTTTAAAATTTAATGGCGTCCACTTGCAACATAAATTATAGAAATGTTGAAAAATACTGCACCTTACAATTAGTACTGGAGTGAAGGGGATGGGTGGGAGTTATAAATGAACCTTGACACCTAAGATCTGCATGCAGCATTTAACTTTACACCAGCACAACATTGTTATCACCTGTGGTAGGACATTTAACCAGGATAGTGCAATCAACGTAAACTGCAGTGATGTATACAGCAATGTAACATTATCATTTTTATTGAATTTGAAAGACTGTCTCAGAAATCTGTGGTGCTAATATTAAAGCCTCTAGCAATTTCAAATTGTCATGACTTGCTGTACATTTTTACTTTAACACCACCTGGTAACATTGATTGCAGCATGCTGTAGTTTATCCAAGATTGCTTAAGCCTTGAACCCTTATGCACATCACCAAAGACAAGCAAGTGCAAATAAGGACATAGGGCAAGGCCCCATACATTGTTATCAAAATCTGATAGGACACTAGCATCATCAGGGAATTGATCGTCAGGTCCTGGAGTCCTGGACACAGCAAATGCTGCTTCTGTTTTGCTGATTTCCTTCCATGCCTAAGGTCAGCATGTGGGGTAGAAATCACTCTGGTTATAAAATGTAACCAAAGCCTTTGAATCATCCTCTCATAGGTTATCATATACAATACTCTATACAGAGTATCACATTGAAACATATCTTATAGAGAGAAAGCTGGATCAGACACTGTTGAAGTATGACTTAATGAAAATTTAATTATGATAGATTTAAAGATGGAACCCAGGCTAGAGAGTGTTATCTATGAAAGAATATCTGCTGCATGCATTTATCTTAAAAAATAGACGTAGTGGACTTACCACAAGCTCTGCAATCTCTATCTTCCTGATTCTGGTGACCCGAGCCACTTCATCCATTTCTACTTTAGTCCGTTCTCGGAGAGGGTAGTTGCTCACATCAGTGTTAGTGTGGAATGCCTGTCAGATAAAAGGAGAACAAGAAATTCCCAAGATTACTAGATGTACTCAATGCAACTTCTACATTTAACCATTTGCTAAAATCAGAACAATACTTTCTTCCATCTAGATACATAGTGTGAAGTTTGCTTACCAGTACGTTGCGACCCTTGACCTTCATGGAATCCCAGCATTCCCTCTTGATGAGGTCGCGGAGGTACTGCAGGGCCAGCATCTTGAACTCCAGCTCTTCCCGCAGCTGTGGGAGGGACAAAATGCATCCCTGATTATTACAGAAAGGATAACGAACTAGATCAAACTGGTCTTAAACTATGATGGTTCTAGGAGACTGAGATGGCTAGAGAAGAGACAGTTACAGTTAGAGTAGTATGTACTATAGTAGTGTAGGTACCAATCATCACCAATTATTTTTTCTGAATCAAGACTAAATCTTGTGCTACTACTTGTCTTTCAATTTCTTTTATGATCCTCCCAAACATTTCCCTACATCTATCATCCTCCAGTCCTCCCTGTCTGTCCCTAAGATAATAACTCACCGCTGCCACCCTGGAATCAGCATCAGCCTGCATCCTCTTCTGTTCTGCTGTGTCCAAGTTAAACTCTGACCGGTCCAGCTTCTCGATGTCGGGCCGCTCAGCATTCTCTGCCATCATGGAGTGGATCTAAAGGAAACACACATTCCATAAGTCACCAGAGATTCAAAGCATGGTAAGGTTAATGATTATGGCATCACCAGGAACAGTGTTTCCAGTACCATTGACAGGGATTCCATTTTCAGCACCAGGGACAGGTTGGTGTTTTCAATACCAGGGACAGAGATCCTATTTTTTATGTACCAGGGAACTAGATGGTATTGTTAGGGACAGAGATGGCAATTTCAGTGCCAAGGACATGGAATGTGTTTTCAGCACCATGGACAGGGCTGGTGACTAAGGCTGACCGATTTCACAAATAATCAAGGCTCAAACAAACAAAGAAGCAAACTTACAGTCCTGCGCATGTCTCTGATCTGAGACCTGAGGTCCTTCTTAAGGTCTGAGTACTGCTGACTCTCCAAACGGATGGCCTGTGGAAGGGAGAAGAGTATAAATCAACCTGTATGACTTTCCTTTCCATTGTGAAAACACACACATGTAACATACATGGCCACAGGTGCTCAGGAAAGAGGCCTAATCAGCCCTTAAAAGCAACAGATTGTGCAACATAGGATAACACAAGCGACATCACTAAGAACACGGGCTACAGAAGTTACCTGCTGTATCTTGTTCTCCAGCCAGGTGGCATCAGATGCAGGAGTTGGGGTGGGAGTGCTGAAGATCTCATCTTTGGACATGGCTTCCTCCTTACGACTCTTTAACTGTGTGCGTGACATGACAATTGTTAAATCAACATGTTAAATCAGGCAATGTATCAGTCAAGAACATGAGAAATATCTACTGTATGTATTGTGTGAAGTGTGTCAGATTGCTAATCAGATTTGGAGCATCATCTTCATATTTTCTCTACTGATCCATTCCCTTGTATACTTCCTTACTCAGCACTTTTATTTTTATACTATTCAATGCCAAATCACAGGTCCTTAATATGAAAAGTACATAAAAGGTCATTACAACATGTTGTATCATAACAAATATGTTTCTCCCCTGCAGTACCTTTTCTTCCCGCTGGGTGGCGGAGTCAGGCCTGGAGTCCGTGTGAGAAACAGTCTTCACCATGGACCACTCCGGCATGGTGGCCGCAGATGCACCCTCCAACCGGCGCAGGCTGTGCATCTTGGTGTTGTGGCCGCGAGCAAACTCCATGGCCTCACTTGCCTCTGTCTTACCGGCCTGGCTGAAACTTCAGAGGAAACAATGCACATTTAGATGTGGGAATGGGGAAATACAGACTGAGGTGGCAAGTTGGTCAATAACGGAGGCTAAAACAAACAAGAAAACAAACAAATAAACAAACACTTACTTCCACCTGTAGCAGGTGAGGGCACCATCCTTGCTGCCGATGGTGAAGAGGTACTGCATGTCTGTGCTGAACCTCATCCACCCCACTCCTCCTGTGGCAAAACTGTGGGCCACCACCTCACTCCATCGCTCCTGCATACAAACACAACAGTACATGGCTGTTGGTCTTAGCTTGGCTAAATCTCACTTCTAGCAGCCCTCCCACTGCTCTTTAAGAGGAAACTTAATCAGCCCCTGACAGCAAGAAATTGTGCAACACAGGCTATGCTGGTCTGATATGGGAGACTACTTGACAGTTGTAATTTGAAAGTTCTTACTCATCAACAATGAAAAGCATTCACCAGTTCACTGAAAAAACTCAGGAGGAGTCCTGTTGACCAACACAACACTAACTGTGGGAGTAGCTAAGGTCTAAGGTAAGACAGCGACTCACGATCTGCTGTAGGGTCCTGACAGCCACCCTGCCATCTGGTGAGCAGGAGGCCAGCCACTGCTGATGGGTGGACAACATGACGGTACCTCCGGGGAGCTGGTGACTCGGGTACTCCTCATCAGGCTGGAGCGTGTGGTTATTCTCCTCATCCTGGGACAACAGGATATGTTACAATGAGGTTTGGTTGTACTTTTGTTCTTTGCTGTAATACAGTTATACAGTCAAGACTTGTAAATAAACAATATTAACTGGTGATCTGAGGACAAAACATATGCTACCACTCCCACTCACCTCTCCGTTAGCCTGTGCCAGGTTGAACCTCTGCAGCCTCTTGTTGTTGTGTGCTAATGCGTACACCAGTCCACCTGGAGCCAGGCAGGCTCCATAGCAGGGTACTGACAGCTTCCATGTCTGCTTCTGCACTCCCTCATCAGTAAAGTCACATCTGGTGCTGCCATGGACACTGCTGGGATCTAAAGAGGAACATTGTATTCATGTATTTAAGTTATCACAGTTGTCAGGTATATTTCCTATGTAGCCTACATAACCTCCATGTTATAATTACCTATGGGTACGGAGGTATAGGTCTTGGGTGTGTTTGAGTGCTTCCACACAGTTACTAGGTTATGCACACTTTACAAAAATGAATGACACTTGTCAAGAAATAGAAGTGTCAGGATTTACTTTACCTTTGAGCACAGCGTCCGACAGGTCAAACTTGACGAGCTGGGTCGCAGGCGCCTGTGGACTGGCTTGGGGAGAGGGGTCGGAGGTCACCACTATCTTGACCCCTGACCCAGAGTTTCCCTCGTTCAGTACAGACACGCTAGTGATTTCTCCTGCAACAGCTGGGGGAAAATATAACAGTGTTACTTTTCAGGCATTTCATTTTGCAGTAGGACTTTAAATTTGTTGTTGAAACAATTCTGTAGTACAGTAGTGGATCAAACCTTACAGCCTGGTTTTATGAAGCTTGTACTTACTGTACAAAACTGGTGTGTTACGCCTAAGGCAGTTTACCAGTTATGTTAAACAAACAACATACCTATGTATCCCAAGATTTTAAACTCCGTGGACGGCCGTGGGTCCATGACGAACACATACCCGTCATCTGAACCTGACACCAGGACCTTCCCCTCCCTGTCATGCCTGCAGACACATGGGACAGGTGTGTTGATGAATGTTACGTAGACATTTAGGTATAATATAACATAATACAAAATAAATCAAGCAACTAGATAAACTCTCTGTAGAGTCACATGTAGTTAGCCATTTCAGACACTTAATCAGTGACTGAATATGAGTCTGAATACATTATGTAACCTGTACATAAATGAGTATCTTCTGTCACAGTCTGCTTGAATTCTACAGCATCAAAATCGTATGACAACGTATCACAAATGTAGCTATATCATAAGGGCAACGTTGCATGCTTACATGAGGTGCAGTACCGGCCCCTGGTGCATGTGGTGTCTGTAGATGATCCTGGGGCTCTGCAGGTTGGACAGGTCCACAAAGTACACATGGCCAGACTTGGTCCCGACAGCTGCAACCTCAGCAGAGGGGCTGCACACCAGACTAGTGGCCTGCAACAGGACAATCAGAACTAAGACTTCAGGAGATGAGTGCCATGTGGAGCATGGCATAAGCAGGACTTAAGAGAGACAAATTCTCAGCCTCACGACTGGGACTGATTGTAAACCAATTTACATGGTTTGTAAAAGATTGATTTCAAAACTGATACTATGCTCCACCTGAGTCAGTGGACACCTTACCTGCACACCTATGGGTATACATGTGACCAGACTGGGCTCTTCCACAGACCACACCTGCACCTCACCATCTTCACGGCATGTCTGCAGGGAACATACAAACAGCTTAGGACAAGTAAATCAAAGAGATACAAAAAAAATTCAAATTGAAAACGAATAGACTGTGACAGAATGAAGAGGACATTTTTACTTTATCCTTTAAAACTGCCGTCATACTGACCACACAGTGCTTGGTGCCAGGTCCGAGAGGAGCCAGGCCAACCATGTCCCCAAAATGGACATCCAGGAGGTCTGCTGCTGACCCGGGGGCACTGGGGTCATACATGTGCACAGAACCCTGCAGACAGGACACAGAGATAACGGGTATAAATTGATACCGGCACTTGAAATAGCATGACAAACATCAATACTATATCCTTATTTATAACTTTGAGGGCAAGAAACTTTTGGGAAGTTTCAAATAAGTGAACTATTATGGAACAAAACTAATTTTTCATTTCATAGTCAAGTCAAAGTGTGTTGCACGACGATTGTAACAGGTACAATGTATGGCATTACCTTCTAAGTGTTTTCTTATAGTAAATGTTGTAATTTTAACTAGCATTATGTACAAGCAAGACAAAAACAAGCACTTATCATCAGCCAAACAACAACAGGACAAGTATCCAAAAACTTTAACTAAAAATGTGAAGTTGTTGCAGGATGCTAAAAGTGTAAGCTGATTGCTGACCCTTGATGTGCCCACAGCCAGGTGTTGGTAGTCCGCTGAGAAGCCAAGTGAGGTGATGGGACTAGAACCCTTGTACACGTCAGATAGATAGCTGTCTTTAGAGGCCAGGCTGATCAGTCGTAGGGTGCCGTCCTGACGGAACAAAGAAGATATTGAAAATGACATAATATTGTGATCAACTACTACTGCTAAATACTAGTACATTTAATGATAGCTGTTGGTTTTCATCAAAACAAAAAGACCCCTCCTCACATGTAGGAGCTAGTGGACTCATGCTCACCTCTCCTCCTGCATACAGGCCATTCTTGTGCAGTGTTATACAGTTTAAACTCCCCTCACGGAGACCCTCAGGCAGGAACACAGAGTCTCCTCTCTGCAGCTTGGTTTCTTCTGCAGCCTCCTGCTGACTTTCCTCAGCAGCTGGCTCTTCTGGTATACCCTCTGTGGAACACAACAGACTTGACTCTTAAGTCCCCGTCATACATTGTTGTTGTTAGGGCAACTTAGCAGGCAAAGCTCAAGGGTTGCAATCAAGTCAGATGTGATGGCCTGGTACAGCACGAATCAGGTTTTCATGTCACACATAGCTGACCATGTGTACCCGTGTACACATTTTGTGCAATAATGTAACTATGTATCTTTTACTTAGACCTTCTATCACTAGTATCAGTATGGTTTTATTTTGTTCAATATGTACTTTTAATGTTAAACCCTGTGAAATTAGCTACAGAGCTATAGGATATCGTAATAAACTACCTGTGAGAGATGTTCCCTTGTGGAGGTCCTCCAGTGACCCAGCAGCCTGTGGCAGGATGGCGCTGGACTCACGTGACAGGAGGCCCATCTCAGGCTTCAGAAGGACCTTCACTTTATGGGTGTCAGCTTCAATCTGCAAAGAATGGGGAATTCTTGTTATTGAGGACTTCATATAAGAAAAACTTGACATACAACATCCATCTTTGTCCTTCAGGACATAGCCTGACTACATCATTCTTTTAGCAGCCCTTCCACTGGTCAGGCCTCAAGAAGCTAAATCAGGAGAATTGGGAGCATCTTAATCCTTTCAACCCTATTAATGAAATATGATGAGAAGAGAATGAGCTTCACAATCATTGGTGGAATTTAGTTATTTTTTAAAATATTGTCCTACATGTACAAGGCATGGGTTATGAAATGTCAATATGTCTACCATCTTAAGAAATCCTGTGTACCTTCAGCAGTTGTCCCCCTGCACACCCCACGTAGATGTCCCCTCCAGGGCTCCAGCACTGAGACACCAGCTTCACCCTCGGCTTCACGTCCTCTCCCACGTCCAGGTTCTCAGCGTTCTCCCCCACCACTCCCGCGATGGCAGCACGGGTCATACGGATCTCCGTGTTAGCGCCCGTGATGTGGACCGGCTGTCTGATGGGAGCGTCGTTCAGATTCTCACGCTCGGGGAGGGTGCCGTCTTCTGCGGGCAGGTTTACCTTCCTACAGAGGAGAACCAGTATAATTAACAATAGCCATAGCTAATTCATAATTCAGAGGTGGATGCAAAATCACTTGGAGAAGTCCATGGACTATCTTGGTGAACAGCAAAGATGTTGGCTAAAAACAGATACAAATGGAAACAAAAAGTTATGGCCTCGTGTCTCACCAGGCAGTAATTCATAAATCTGGTGTCATTTAGGATAAAAACGACCATTGGAGTTAGTTTTTGGGTTATGTGCACTTTTCTGTAACTCTCTGTCAAAAAAAAGGTCTATGCTTAATTGGGCTGGAGTCAGTAAAACACTATGTGGCCTGTGAGATCATTACCAGGCTCTGAAGACAATGATTGCTGCTTACGTTGAAAGGAGTAGAAATGTTTTGTTGCACTGTTCCACATGCCACACTGACAAGTGTTTCTCCCCGAGTAGACACAGCTGTCTCCAGTTGGATGGGCTGACTGTGAGGCTGGCCTGGGGAGGGGGGTGAGACACAGACTGGCTGCACAGGATGGTTCCCTCACGCCAGTTCCTAAAACACAGAGGACAGAAAAATTCATTATCACCATCACCAAACATCTCATCCAGGCTTGCCAATTGACAAACATTGCTTTATAGGAAAAACACTCAACTAGACAATAACTTGACCACAAGGCACAATTCCTCCCAGTAGACATCTGATATAAATACATATGCAGTGATTGCTCACACATGTGTGCGGTGATTGCTCACTTTGCAATAAACTGTCTTTAAAAAATTATTCACTAGTTTGACAGAAGAATTAATATATGCTCTGACCACCTATTGTCCAGATGTTTTTTGCTAAATTTGATGATGACTGGTTCATCTACATTAGCAAGCTGCTCAAAAGTCAACATAAGTCTATAATACTGACCAAACTGCTATGGAATGGTCAGGCACTCCTGAGTAAGTAGCCAGGTGGTAGCCAGCTGAGAAACTGATGGACAGGTACTCCAGCTGTGCACCTTTTTCATCTGGAGGAAAAAAGAGGTAGAAATTCATAGAATTAGATAACACCAAAATATCTAATCAAGGACCTTTGAACACAGCTCTGTTTATCTAATACTTTTATATGCACATATTTCAAGCAAACTTCACACATGTAAATTAATACTTCACAGAATACATGCACAACTATGCAAGAAAAGTACTTGCATATTTTACCTTTCAAAATAGCTTGTTGTAAGAATCCTGGGTACTGGAACACAAAGATTCTTGGCTGAGGACACTGCTCACTAAATCCAAAGACGCCAAAGTTGCTGTTGACTGCGAGCGGACCAACCCCCTCCCCTGGGGTGGGGAAGACCGTCTCCTGTTTGGTTTCTGTGTCAATGAACTTGACCGTGCTGCCGCAGGAATGGACCAGGGTTTTGGCATCAATGTACTGGGCTGAGGTACCATTGTAGCCTTGGGCCCACCTGAAAATGTTGTGACTATCATAAGCACATAGCATGATACTACAGCTGTAAACTTTAAATAAAACCAAGTCAGTTAACTGGTTTGGAGCCGTGTTTATGCAATTTATGCTTCTCTACTGTAGGTTATACTATGACAGGTTTTATATGGGACTGTTACACAGCTGTGATTACTTTTAATACCCCAAGGGATACTCATGATAAGTTGTAGCTATAATGGCTAAATGATTTCCAGATGGTGACAGAAGTTGTTGGAGGACCACCAGAGAGATCAGATATGGCCATTTGGGGTGTATTTCGCGCACACGTCTAATTTATGCAGAAAATGATTGGCAATAATTTGCAGGAATAAGTACTCTGCCCCCCCCCCCTCCACATACTAGTAAACAATCACAGACGTTGCATTCAAGTTCTGTTACTCTTTTTCTCAGATCAAATCATACAAACAATACTCACTGTAGCTCAAGAGTGCCTGCAGCATCCATGGCTCCGGTTTAGAAGAGCGCAAATCGCCGTTGTCTGTCCAGAAACGTCCCAACTCTGTTTGTTTTCAGCAGTTTTTCACGACGTTCACCAACATCTCCGAAGGGAGGGCTCCAAATTTACCGAGCGTTGCTAAGGAGACCAAAGCGCATGCGCGGGGAGGCTCAGCTTGCTTCTCACATTTTTTCCGAATTCCAAAGTATTGGATCATCGAAAAGTGGAAAATTAGTAAATAATAACATAATCTTATCAGAACGTCAGGTTCATAAATGATTTTCTTGTCAAAATTGGTCAGGTTATATATCATGTTAGTGATGTAACTCAAACCTATTTTTCAGCTGTCAATAGTGTTGTACTTTTAGTGCCTAATCAAAATGTCATAATAGTTGTTATATGCCATGAGTCTTTCTAAAAGTTTATGTTTGCTAGAATGATCATTAAAGAAATGTGAAAGTACAAATGCCATTTGTCCATTTAGCTCGTGCAATTACCATATTCTTTCATTTTCGATGTTGAAAAGATAAGGCACTGATATCTATTTGGTGAACAGCTCACTACCTAAAACACAACCCAGCGTGCGACGGACAGCATGTCATGACCTACAGACGGGACTGTTCTGTGACATTGTAAAGTTTAGGACTGACAAGAAGTCTGGTTCGGACATGGCGGGCTACAGCCCCTTTCTCCACACAAGACGGGTGCCTATAGTGAACTATATCCGTGAAAATAACCGTCTTCTTGCCCAAGGTTTTCGGCGAGAACTAGTGACAAAGTCAGGGTGCCGAGAGCAGTCGCCATCATGGCGGTCAGTCGCGTACAAGTTCTTCTTCCCGAGTCTTCACGACAGTGTCGTGTCTATCGGCAGGTTCCTCGCGCAACAGTTCAACGTTTACGCCGCCCAGAGAATCCGCAGGATGGGGCAAGTGTGGAGCCTCTACAGGGACATTTATAACGACAAGACCGTGAACTTCATGGTGTCGCGGTTCGGCCGGAGGCTGGCGAAGTCGGAGAGAACGCGCCGTTGGTACATCATGTTCGGAGCGGTGTGCTTCGCCTGGGACAAGGAAAGAATCACGGACCAGGAGCTAGACTGGTGAGAAGAGGGCATTAATCAATTAATTTATTCATTTTATTTATCTATTCATAAATAATATGAATGTTAAGGGTAGTCCCTTCAGTTATGATACAGATTCCCAGGGGAATCCCTCAACAAATCAGCAAAAAGATAGGATGCAAAGGACTAAGGAGTAGTACTTACCATAAACTTAACATGTCAAGTGTTAACATGTTTGTCGTTAAGATTTGGAAAAATGCAAAGGTCTCTTTACCACCCCCATGAAACTCCTTCCTCTTCGCCCCCGCCGTTCTGCTTCGCCCCCGCCCCGTTCTGCTTCGCCCCCGCAAAAAATCTGCTTCGCCCCCGTCGTTCCTCTACGCCCCCGACGCAATTCTGCTTTGCCCCCGTCCTTCTGCTTAGCCCCCAATGGCGGCACAGCTCACAGTCGACACGAAAATCGTCTGCAAAATAACAATAAAGGCTGTGCCGCCAAATTTAAAGTAGCCCATGCTCCGGCAAACATTCTGGACCACCTTTCTGCCAAGTGGCGTTGCACAAATCCTTCCCATTCAAAAGTTTACCCCTACCT